TACACCGAGACAACATTTGGTAGATGATTACACCGAGGTTACATTTGGTAGATGATTACACCGAGGTTACATTTGGTAGATGATTACACCGAGACAACATTTGGTAGATGATTACACAGAGACAACATTTGGTAGATGATTACACCGAGACAACATTTGGTAGATGATTACACCGAGGTTACATTTGGTAGATGATTACACCGAGACAACATTTGGTAGATGATTACACCGAGGTTACATTTGGTAGATGATTACACCGAGACAACATTTGGTAGATGATTACACCGAGACAACATTTGGTAGATGATTACACCGAGGTTACATTTGGTAGATGATTACACCGAGGTTACATTTGGTAGATGATTACACTGAGACAACATTTGGTAGATGATTACACCGAGGTTACATTTGGTAGATGATTACACCGAGACAACATTTGGTAGATGATTACACAGAGACAACATTTGGTAGATGATTACACCGAGACAACATTTGGTAGATGATTACACCGAGACAACATTTGGTAGATGATTACACCGAGACAACATTTGGTAGATGATTACACCGAGACAACATTTGGTAGATGATTACACCGAGACAACATTTGGTAGATGATTACACCGAGGTTACATTTGGTAGATGATTACACCGAGGTTACATTTGGTAGATGATTACACCGAGACAACATTTGGTAGATGATTACACCGAGGTTACATTTGGTAGATGATTACACCGAGACAACATTTGGTAGATGATTACACCGAGGTTACATTTGGTAGATGATTACACCGAGGTTACATTTGGTAGATGATTACACCGAGGTTACATTTGGTAGATGATTACACCGAGGTTACATTTGGTAGATGATTACACCGAGGTTACATTTGGTAGATGATTACACCGAGGTTACATTTGGTAGATGATTACACCGAGACAACATTTGGTAGATGATTACACCGAGACAACATTTGGTAGATGATTACACCGAGGTTACATTTGGTAGATGGTTACACTGAGACAACATTTGGTAGATGATTACACCGAGACAACATTTGGTAGATGATTACACCGAGACAACATTTGGTAGATGATTACACCGAGGTTACATTTGGTAGATGGTTACACTGAGACAACATTTGGTAGATGATTACACCGAGGTTACATTTGGTAGATGATTACACCGAGGTTACATTTGGTAGATGATTACACCGAGGTTACATTTGGTAGATGATTACACCGAGACAACATTTGGTAGATGATTACACCGAGGTTACATTTGGTAGATGATTACACCGAGGTTACATTTGGTAGATGATTACACCGAGGTTACATTTGGTAGATGATTACACCGAGGTTACATTTGGTAGATGATTACACCGTGGTTACATTTGGTAGATGATTACACCGAGACAACATTTGGTAGATGATTACACCGAGGTTACATTTGGTAGATGATTACACCGAGGTTACATTTGGTAGATGATTACACCGAGACAACATTTGGTAGATGATTACACTGAGACAACATTTGGTAGATGATTACACCGAGACAACATTTGGTAGATGATTACACCGAGGTTACATTTGGTAGATGATTACACCGAGGTTACATTTGGTAGATGATTACACCGAGGTTACATTTGGTAGATGATTACACCGAGACAACATTTGGTAGATGATTACACCGAGGTTACATTTGGTAGATGATTACACCGAGGTTACATTTGGTAGATGATTACACCGAGGTTACATTTGGTAGATGATTACACCGAGGTTACATTTGGTAGATGATTACACCGAGGTTACATTTGGTAGATGATTACACCGAGACAACATTTGGTAGATGATTACACCGAGACAACATTTGGTAGATGATTACACCGAGACAACATTTGGTAGATGATTACACCGAGGTTACATTTGGTAGATGATTACACCGAGGTTACATTTGGTAGATGATTACACCGAGGTTACATTTGGTAGATGATTACACCGAGGTTACATTTGGTAGATGATTACACCGAGACAACATTTGGTAGATGATTACACCGAGGTTACATTTGGTAGATGATTACACCGAGGTTACATTTGGTAGATGATTACACCGAGACAACATTTGGTAGATGATTACACCGAGGTTACATTTGGTAGATGATTACACCGAGGTTACATTTGGTAGATGATTACACCGAGACAACATTTGGTAGATGATTACACCGAGACAACATTTGGTAGATGATTACACCGAGGTTACATTTGGTAGATGATTACACCGAGACAACATTTGGTAGATGATTACACCGAGGTTACATTTGGTAGATGATTACACCGAGGTTACATTTGGTAGATGATTACACCAAGACAACATTTGGTAGATGATTACACCGAGGTTACATTTGGTAGATGATTACACCGAGACAACATTTGGTAGATGATTACACCGAGACAACATTTGGTAGATGATTACACCGAGACAACATTTGGTAGATGATTACACCGAGACAACATTTGGTAGATGATTACACTGAGACAACATTTGGTAGATGATTACACCGAGACAACATTTGGTAGATGATTACACCGAGACAACATTTGGTAGATGATTACACCGAGTTTACATTTGGTAGATGATTACAACGAGTTTACATTTTGGTAGATGATTACACAGAGACAACATTTGGTAGATGATTACACCGAGACAACATTTGGTAGATGATTACACCGAGGTTACATTTGGTAGATGATTACACCGAGACAACATTTGGTAGATGATTACACCGAGGTTACATTTGGTAGATGATTACACCGAGGTTACATTTGGTAGATGATTACACCGAGACAACATTTGGTAGATGATTACACTGAGACAACATTTGGTAGATGATTACACCGAGACAACATTTGGTAGATGATTACACCGAGACAACATTTGGTAGATGATTACACCGAGGTTACATTTGGTAGATGATTACACCGAGGTTACATTTGGTAGATGATTACACCGAGACAACATTTGGTAGATGATTACACTGAGACAACATTTGGTAGATGATTACACCGAGACAACATTTGGTAGATGATTACACCGAGACAACATTTGGTAGATGATTACACTGAGACAACATTTGGTAGATGATTACACCGAGACAACATTTGGTAGATGATTACACCGAGACAACATTTGGTAGATGATTACACCGAGGTTACATTTGGTAGATGATTACACCGAGGTTACATTTGGTAGATGATTACACCGAGACAACATTTGGTAGATGATTACACCGAGGTTACATTTGGTAGATGATTACACCGAGACAACATTTGGTAGATGATTACACCGAGGTTACATTTGGTAGATGATTACACCGAGACAACATTTGGTAGATGATTACACAGAGACAACATTTGGTAGATGATTACACTGAGACAACATTTGGTAGATGATTACACCGAGACAACATTTGGTAGATGATTACACCGAGACAACATTTGGTAGATGATTACACCGAGGTTACATTTGGTAGATGATTACACCGAGACAACATTTGGTAGATGATTACACCGAGACAACATTTGGTAGATGATTACACCGAGGTTACATTTGGTAGATGATTAATGTCACCGAGACTCGTGTAATCAGGAAAGGCAGTTTGTTTTCTAGTCCATCACCTTCGGATCATCATCATACATTACAACTCAGGGATAACATGAAAGCTGTTGATCTAGATGGTATAGCAATGCCGTGTATGATGGATGGTCATTAAGAGTTCGAGTTAACGAGATCGATAGTATTGAACACAGTACGTATAGCCGATATCTACAGAACGGTATAGGAAACATAGGCAGGTAGATAGAATATTGACGAGGAATAAAGACCAACACATGTTACATAACAATACATCATATTTCTTATCGAATTTTAATACCGGTCATACCCGGAATTAGTACACTGTTGTGGATAAGGATTCGAGTATACATATCAGAAAAAATCAAGTTATAAGTGACTGTTTCAAACCATTGTGGGTGATCCACTGTTTACACTTAACCCCTGCCAACTGCTCAGTTTTCTCCTAAATGTCGACATTTTTTTCTTAGATAAAAAGCGGCGGATTTGTTTGTTATAGTGGTGTAGCTCGGCCTTGTGTATTGATTCTGGTATGTAGACATGTTTAATGACGTCTTTCTGTTTTCACGTGACAATGGTTCTTCCTTAATATACACCGGAGCTAAAAATAGCTCGCGGATATAATCGGTGATGATACTTGTAACGGTGACTCGCCCGTCGTATCTTAAACAATGTATAGATAAACACGGTCATGACCCTCAGACTCAGATCGATTTAAATATTCATAATTAGGCTATAATCTGTATTATTTCAAAGAATTTAAAGAAAATAGTAAGAAAGACACGATTTAATTATCAACAAATTCGAATTACAAAATATGAACAAAATAAATATGTATTGTGATACCACTGAATACATCGGAAGGTGAACCATCCAGGTTTATCGAATACTCTGGCCTTGTAAATCTTACTTATCTTACGGAAGTTGTGTTTGAGAAAAAGTGTATATAACAATTTAGAAGCGAGTAGACATATACTTATCATTTTGTAACCTTAATTGTATATCTGTATTGTCACGTGGTCGGGTCTTATGTATATCACTTTCGTTTTGAGAGAATTGTCAGAAAAGTAATTTAATAGAAAAATAATGATATCGCACGCATGTTATCCAGTTGATCATTGCGGTTATTAGTACAACCTGTATCATGTGTGTGTTACGTCAAGGATTCATGTGTGAGCCTCGATTTGGTAATAACACACATGTTCACAGTCCGCCATCTTATGAGTTATCATTACGAATATTTGTAATTAATACTGTACCTGATAAACTGCATTGATTTTATCTATAAATATATATGTTCTGTTATGTTGTCCGAACCAAACCGAAGAAGATATATACCAATCTATTGACTACTGATGTTATTTATATTTTGCAGTAAATAAACAACACAATTATGATGAAGTTGACCTTGACCAAGCATCAAGAGAACCAAACTGGGATGGTAAGAAAGTCAATGATATAACAGGCTATTTATTTCACATCTTGTTCGAGTATGCCCTCAAATGACCCTGGCTGTCACGCGGACGTTAAACCACAAAGCAATATTGTTTGGCGATTTATTTTTACCATTTACAATTGTGTTAATTCTCACTAAACCTTTAACCACATAACTACCCTGTCATCAGCGTAATATACCCATTACATAACTACCCTGTCATCAGCGTAATATACCCATTACATAACTACCCTGTCATCAGCGTAATATACCCATTACATAACTACCCTGTCATCAGCGTAACTACCCTTATTGGTGTAATGACACCCATAATCTACATGTATATCATATTGTTATTACATAACTACGGGAAAACAGGGAAGTTATATAATGGGTTATTACATAACTAGGAGCAAACAGGGTAGATATATAATGGGTGTTATTACACTGATAACAGGGTAGTTATATAATGGGTACTATTACACTAATAACAGGCAGGGTAGTTATATAATGGTTGTTATTACACTGATAACAGGGTAGTTATATAATGGTTGTTATTACACTGATAACAAGGTAGTTATATAATGGGTGTCATTACTCTGATAACAGGGTAGTTATATAATTGGTGCTATAACACTGATTACAGGGTAGTTATGATATGGGTGTTATTACACTGATAACAGGGTAGTTATATAATGGGTGCTATTACACTAATAACAGGCAGGGTAGTTATATAATGGGTGTTATTACACTGATAACAGGGTAGTTATAAAATGGGTGTTATTACACTGATAACAGGGTAGTTATATAATGGGTGTTATTACACTGATAACACATTTTGTCGACAAATTGATAAATATTTTGTGTGCTTAATATTTTAAATGTGATACATTTTTTATTTCTAAAATTTACACATTTTTTATCGTTTCAGTGGAAAAGAAGCCTAGAAATTACGATCAGGTTGACATAGGAGGAAACCAATCAGAACAAAGGTCAAGAAAGGTTGACTAGTTTATCAAAATATAGAGGTGTTGGTATCGCACTCAATAATCTCCTCACTTTGCATTAATTTTCTCAACTTCACCGAAACGATTGCACTCCTAATCAATATCTAACCCATAGAAGAAAACATGCTTTATACTATGTGCAATATTAATATCATCTTGATGTTCAAAGGGATGTATTTCTTGTATCTAGTTGTGAGGTACACTATATCTAGTGAGGTACACTATATCTAGTGAGGTACCCTATATCTAGTGAGGTACCCTATATCTAGTGAGGTACACTATATCTAGTGAGGTACACTATATATAGTGAGGTACACTATATCTAGTGTGGTACCCTATATCTAGTGAGGTACACTATATCTAGTGAGGTTCACTATATATAGTGAGGTACACTATATCTAGTCAGGTCCACTGTATGTAGTTGTGAGGTACACTATATCTAGTGAGGTACCCTGTATCTAGTGAGGTACACTATATCTAGTGAAGTCCACTGTATATAGTTGTGAGGTACACTATATCTAGTGAGGAACCCTGTATATAGTTGTGAGGTACACTCTATCTAGTGAGGTCCACTGTATATAGTTCTGAGGTACACTATATCTAGTGAGGTACCCTATATCTAGTGAGGTACACTATATCTAGTGAGGTACCCTATATCTAGTGAGGTACACTATATCTAGTGAGGTCCACTGTATGTAATTGTGAGGTACACTATATCTAGTGAGGTACCCTGTATCTCGTGTATATCTAGTGAGGTACACTGTATATAGTTTTGATGTACACTATATCTAGTGAGGTACCCTGTATCTAGTGAGGTACACTATATCTAGTGAGGTCCACTGTATATAGTTGTGAGGTACACAATATATCTAGTGAGGTACCCTGTATATAGTTGTGAGGTACACTCTATCTAGTGAGGTCCACTGTATATAGTTCTGAGGTACACTATATCTAGTGAGGTACCCTATATCTAGTGAGGTACACTATATCTAGTGAGGTACACTATATCTAGTGAGGTCCACTGTATGTAATTGTGAGGTACACTATATCTAGTGAGGTACCCTGTATCTCGTGTATATCTAGTGAGGTACACTGTATATAGTTGTGAGGTACACTATATCTAGTGAGGTACCCTGTATCTAGTGAGGTACACTATATCTAGTGAGGTCCACTGTATATAGTTGTGAGGTACACAATATATCTAGTGAGGTACCCTGTATATAGTTGTGAGGTACACTATATCTAGTGAGGTCCACTGTATATAGTTGTGAGGTACACTATATCTAGTGAGGTACACTATATCTAGTGAAGTCCACTGTACATGGTGAGGTACACTATATCTAGTGAGGTACCCTGTATGTAGTGAGGTACACTATATCTAGAGAGGTACCCTATATCTAGTGAGATACACTATATCTAGTGAGGTACCCTGTGTCTAGTGAGGTACACTATATCTAGTGAGGTCCACTATATCTAGTGAGGTACACTATATCTAGTGAGGTCCACTATATCTAGCGAGATACACTATATCTAGTGAGGTACCCTGTGTCTAGTGAGGTACACTATATCTAGGGAGGTACACTATATCTAGTGAAGTACCCTATATCTAGTGAGGTACACAATATCTAGTGAGGTCCACTGTATATAGTTGTGAGGTACACTATATCTAGTGAGGTACACTATATCTAGTGAGGTCCACTGTATATAGTTGTGAGGTACACTATATCTAGTGATGTACCCTGTATCTAGTGAGGTACACTATATCTAGTGAGGTACACTATATCTAGTGAGGTACGCTGTGTCTAGTGAGGTACACTATATCTAGTGAGGTACACTATATCTAGTGAGGTACCCTATATCTAGTGAGGTACAGTATATCTAGTGAGGTCCACTGTATGTAATTGTGAGGTACACTATATCTAGTGAGGTACCCTGTATCTCGTGTATATCTAGTGAGGTCCACTGTATATAGTTGTGAGGTACACTATATCTAGTGAGGTACACTATATTTAGTGAGGTACGCTGTGTCTAGTGAGGTACACTATATCTAGTGAGGTACACTATATCTAGTGAGGTACCCTATATCTAGTGAGGTACAGTATATCTAGTGAGGTCCACTGTATGTAATTGTGAGGTACACTATATCTAGTGAGGTACCCTGTATCTCGTGTATATCTAGTGAGGTCCACTGTATATAGTTGTGAGGTACACTATATCTAGTGAGGTACCCTATATCTAGTGAGTTACACTATATCTAGTGAGGTACACTATATCTAGTGAGGTACACTATATCTAGTGAGGTACCCTATATCTAGTGAGGTACACTTGATCTAGTGAGGTACACTTGATCTAGTGAGGTACACTATATCTAGTGAGGTATACTGTGAGGTACACTATATCTAGTGAGGTACACTATATCTAGTGAGGTACACTTGATCTAGTGAGGTACACTATATCTAGTGAGGTACCCTATATCTAGTGAGGTACACTATATCTAGTGAGGTACACCTATATCTAGTGAGGTACCCTATATCTAGTGAGGTACACTATATCTAGTGAGGTACACTATATCTAGTGAGGTACCCTATATCTAGTGAGGTACCCTATATCTAGTGAGGTACACTTGATCTAGTGAGGTACACTATATCTAGTGAGGTATACTGTGAGGTACACTATATCTAGTGATGTACACTATATCTAGTGAGGTACACTATATCTAGTGAGGTACACTATATCTAGTGATGTACACTATATCTAGTGAGGTACACTATATCTAGTGAGGTACACTGTGAGGTACACTATATCTAGTGAGGTACACTGTGAGGTACACTATATCTAGTGCAGTATACTGTGAGGTACACTATATCTAGTGAGGTATACTGTGAGGTACACTATATCTAGTGAGGTACACTGTGAGGTACACTATATCTAGTGCGGTACACTGTGAGGTACACTATATCTAGTGAGGTACACTGTGAGGTACACTATATCTAGTGAGGTACACTGTGAGGTACACTATATCTAGTGAGGTACACTGTGAGGTACACTATATCTAGTGAGGTACACTGTGAGGTACACTATATCTAGTGAGGTACACTATATCTAGTGAGGTACACTATATCTAGTGAGGTACACTGTGAGGTACACTATATCTAGTGAGGTACACTGTGAGGTACACTATATCTAGTGAGGTACACTATATCTAGTGAGGTACACTGTGAGGTACACTATATCTAGTGAGGTACACTGTGAGGTACACTATATCTAGTGAGGTACACTGTGAGGTACACTATATCTAGTGAGGTACACTGTGAGGTACACTATATCTAGTGAGGTACACTGTGAGGTACACTATATCTAGTGAGGTACACTGTGAGGTACACTGTGAGGTACACTGTGAGGTACACTATATCTAGTGAGGTACACTGTGAGGTACACTATATATATAATATTTACTTGGAATTATTGTAATCTTGTTATAGCTTTTGCCGTCACAAAGAATAGTTGTGACCTATGTACTGTCCTTACCAATGTACCATCCTAACCACTGTACCATCCTAACCAATGTACCATCCTAACCACTGTACCATCCTAACCAATGTACCATCCTAACCACTGTACCATCCTAACCAATGTACCATCCTAACCTATGTACTATCCTAACCAATGTACCATCCTAACCTATGTACCGTCCTAACCTATGTACCGTCCTAACCAATGTACCATCTTTACCAATGTACCATCCTAACCACTGTACCATCCTAACCAATGTACCATCCTAACCTATGTACTATCCTAACCACTGTACCATCCTAACCAATGTACCATCCTAACCACTGTACCATCCTAACCAATGTACCATCCTAACCTATGTACTATCCTAACCACTGTACCATCCTAACCACTGTACCATCCTAACCAATGTACCATCCTTACCAATGTACCATCCTAACCACTGTACCATCCTAACCAATGTACCATCCTAACCAATGTACCATCCTAACCACTGTACCATCCTAACCAATGTACCATCCTAACCTATGTACTATCCTAACCAATGTACCGTCCTAACCTATGTACCGTCCTAACCAATGTACCATCCTAACCAATGTACCGTCCTAACCTATGTACTGTCCTAACCAATATACCATCCTAAGCTATGTACCATCCTAACCACTATACCATCCTAACCAATGTACCATCCTAACCTATGTACCATCCTAACCAATGTACTATCCTAACCAATGTACCATCCTAAGCTATGTACCATCCTAACCAATGTACCATCCTAAGCTCTGTACCATCCTAACCACTGTACCATCCTAACGAATGTACCATCCTAACCAATGTACCATCCTGAGCTATGTACCATCCTAACCACTGTACCATCCTAACTAATGTTACATCCTAACCAATGTACCATCCTAACCTATGTACCATCCTAACCAATGTACCATCCTAACCTATGTATCATCCTAACCAATGTACCATCCTAACCTATGTACCATCCTAACATATGTGCCATCCTAACCAATGTACCATCCTATCCTATGTACCATCCTAACCAATGTACCATCCTAACCTATGTACCATCCTAACCAATGTACCATCCTAACCAATGTACCATCCTAACCTATGTACCATCCAATGTATCATCCTATCCAATGTACCATCCTAATTAATGTAACCTCCTTACTCTGCATTGTCCTAACTGAAGTTCCATCCTTGCACATTAATGCCCCAACATGTACGAACTTAATTAATATAGCATCCTAACTGATGTACCTTTCTGAGTGATGTATCATCCTAACTGATGTACCTTTCTAAGTAATGTATCGTCCTAACTGATGTACCTTTCTAAGTGATGTATCGTCCTAACTGATGTACCTTTCTAAGTGATGTATCGTCCTAACTGATGTACCTTTCTAAGTGATGTATCGTCCTAACTGATGTACCTTTCTAAGTGATGTATCGTCCTAACTGATGTACCTTTCTAAGTGATGTGTCGTCCTAACTGATGTACCTTTCTAAGTGATGTGTCGTCCTAACTGATGTACCTTTCTAAGTGATGTGTCGTCCTAACTGATGTACCGTTCTAAGTGATGTATCGTCCTAACTGATGTACCTTTCTAAGTGATGTATCGTCCTAACTGATGTACCTTTCTAAGTGATGTATCGTCCTAACTGATGTACCTTTCTAAGTGATGTATCGTCCTAACTGATGTACCTTTCTAAGTGATGTATCGTCCTAACTGATGTACCTTTCTAAGTGATGTATCGTCCTAACTGATGTACCTTTCTAAGTGATGTATCGTCCTAACTGATGTACCTTTCTAAGTGATGTATCGTCCTAACTGATGTACCTTTCTAAGTGATGTATCATCCTAACTGATGTACCTTTCTAAGTGATGTATCATCATAACTGATGTACCTTTCTAAGTGATGTATCATCCTAACTCTTTCACAATGAAATAGTGAAATTTCTTTCAAAACCTTAATTTTCAATAAAATACTTTCGGCATATTTGTTTGAATATTTATCAGCATTGTCAGTATCTTCACGAGCGTATACTGTATTTCTAATTCAAATCTCATAGCCAACGTGTCATTGTGTAAAACTATTTAAATTATATACATCTCAGTTAAATAGACTGAAATAATAATTAATTATAACGTTGATGTGTGTATGTAGTAGATGGTATGCAACCTGTATAGACTATTAAATTCCACACGTGCAACACAGCTCGTTAGAGGAAAGCATGTCCTTATCATGTTTCACAAAATTCCTGTTCTTTTCCAAATATTGTATTAAAATGTTGGCCTATCCCGTTCCTTTGGACAACATTCGGAAAAGACTCTAGATTTAGGGAACTGTCATGAAGTTCATGTTATAAATCTCGTATAAAGTAACTAGGACTCTAAAGCATGTTTATGGTATGTCTATTTACTCTGGATTGATACCAAATGGAACACAATACGTCACTTGTGTACACAAAAATTGTGATGCAGGACAGTGGTGTATTACGTAACGGGTCATGTATACACACAAAGTTATGATGTAGCAAATACGTGTAATACGTCACGTCTCGTCACGTGTAAACACAGACATCTGTGATGTAACAAAATGATGACTTACGAAACGTCACACTTGCACCAAATCGCTGCTGTTTCTTTCAATGGTGTATTTTTTTTTTAAAAAAAGGGAAAAACAAATAGTTTAATTAAATTTAAAAAAAGGAAATCATGAGGATCGTTTAGATTTCTTTATTTTCCTGTAAATATTGATAAGTTTCACTTCAGAATATGTAATTTGTTTTGTTATTTTAGCACACACATAAAAACATATTGACATAACATAAATTATTTTCGTTTTACAGCAAGGAGTAGGACAGCTGAACTATATAGATGTGGAATTTACTGACAAACCTCCAACAAAGCCGAAAATGTCTGTGTCAGAGAAAGAGGCGTCGAAAGTGACTTATAGTGAAGTGACAGTAGACGCCATGATATATGAAAACCAGTGATACTGACATCCTGTATATAGTTATATATTGTAGTATATTATTTGAAATTATTGTGTAAAGAGTTGGAGAGTAGATTATTAAAATATCGAAATGAAACCTTCGAGATTACCTAGACCATTTTAAAAAGTATAAGTGAAGTTTAAAACTTAATATGTTATAATACAATACTTACATGCAATAATTTTACTATAAGTTTTATGTTACAAAGTATCTTATTGGTTGACAACAATGTTAACTATGTTACAATTTTTAAAAAATGGTTTCTTCCGGTATTTGAATAACTAAGACTTTCCGTGAACTCAGGGTAAGTTAATGGCACTAACAGGTTACTTATTGCGCATGCTTAATATGACAAACTGGAGCAGGATATTACATTTGTTTCAATGTCATATGAGATTTAACGAGTTTTTCCTATAATTTACCTCGACAGAGGCTTGTTAAAATGAAAAACGTTGAGACTCGTTTCATAGTCTTTTATGAATGTGAGCTTTCTCGCTTACATTCACTTTGCCTTACACCCGGACATTACAAAAATGAAGATATACAATGAATCACGTGATTTCGGAATCATTACACTTGAAGGATTAGTGTAAATGAGCTCGGCCGTCGTTGCAGATGTGTAATGTACCGGGTTGGAGGCGGACAATACATGTTAACCCTGTGTACGAACCGATCGATACTTATATTGAAGATCCATACGTGGTTTAGTGATTTTTCTTCGGCACTTCTGAGTATCTCACCCGAAATGTTAATTTATATTTACATCAAAATCTGACGAACGTACTGAATCGAATTACTGTAATCCATCCACGTGTTTTTGTTTACACAATATATATTGCGTAACAATCTAAATTCAAGGTTTGAGAAAAATAATCATTCACCCTCTTTAGGATGAGATAGAGGATCTCAACCGTCGGGGAAGATTATTAAGTTGTCAAACACTCGGCAAGCCTCATGTTTGACAACTTTATGATCTTTCTCTTCGGGTAGAGATCTCTCCATCTCATCCTAAGGGAATGACAATTCTTTTAATATCAAAGATTTGGTTTCACATTAACAAACACTAGAATTTAGTGGTCGTGTTGTAAGAGGAACGATTGCTTCTGATGTCCCTAATTGTTAAGTTATGTGGTTTAAGTTGTAACATTATGATGTGAGTGTGTATGTTGCGGAATACAGTGTAGTTCCTGTGAAAAACTTTAATTTTCTTAATCATCATTAATTATATGAATCTCAAAATAAATTTTCTGGTGGTAAAAGATGCCTTGTTACGATCTCATTTTCATACTAAAAAAAACCCCAACCCCACAAAGCAAAAGTTACAGAACAAAAGAACATCCGGGGTATTATGTTTCTCCGCTCCTGTGTCAGTTCTCTAAATTGAGTCCTAAACCTTGAAAATTCAGTAAGAAATGGAAATCGATGATTAGAAACTCCGTTTAAAATATGTAGGTTGAATTTCAACGTAGATTGCTTGTTTTAAAAAGTTGTCAACAATATGCAAAATCCTATGATAAATTTATTTACACAACGGTGAAAAAAGACACAACGTTGCATATCGATTTGGTTGAAAAAGTGCACCACGGTTGCTATCAAGTTGGTTGAGAAATACATTATCTTATCAATCTAACAATTTCTTATTCACATACATCAGACTAACAATATGACATTGTTAAACCTTTAAATGTCCCTGGAAGGAAAAGCAGGAAGTTGGCAGTTAAACACAGTGGTTAACAATAGGAGAGTAATCTGGCAAAAATGTTTCTTGAAGCGATGAAGTACTTAGATTTATGTCCGTCTATCTGTTAATGACTCAAGTAATAGTTTTCTAAACAATATTCAAATTTTTCTGGTCATTTTATCTTCATATTGATTGTTTACTTTTGGCATAAAATTAGAAATGTAATTTACGGATCCTAAATCGATATCCATGGTGACATCACTACTATTGTCAGAGACGTCGATGGTTCGCTCTCAATAGGGCTGTTACATATAAGAGATCACATCGTAACAAGATGACCACATCCGTCCTTAAATGACCACAGCTGTTGACAGGACGTTAAATATCCTAACAAGATGATCACACCCGTCCTTATATGACTACAGCTTTTGACAGGACGTTAAATATCCTTACCAGATGATCACATCCGTCCTTAAATGACTACAGCTGTTGACAGGACGTTAAATATCCTAACAAGATGATCACATCCGTCCTTAAATGACCACAGCTGTTGACAGGACATTAAATATCCTAACAAGATAACCACACCCATCCTTAAATGATCGTAGCTGTTGATGGGACGTTAAACACTGCATCATTTATTTAATTGCTGATGTGATCGATAGCTGAACTTCCTATTCAGATGTAGCTACCTCACAGAATATCATACAGGAGGTACGTCACATCACCCACAGCTTTTGCAGTGAAATGCCCGTGGACACAACCATAGCAATGGATCCGTTTCTCAACTTCCTTAAAAACACATTAACAGGTAGTTTTAACACGAGGTTCCGTAGCAATCGACCTATTTAGACCTCTTCAGTAAGTTTCAGAGGGCAGCTTTGAAAGGAATTTCTTCTGAAGTCCACAACCAGTCTTATGTAATATCATAGACTATGCAGTTTTGAATAAAACAATTGCATGTAAGTAAATCCCTCCTCTGCCGAATTTATCAATGTCTCCCCATTTCACCATCTTTAAAAAATAACAAAAATTTCTAAATTTCAATAATTCAGTAAGACACTGTTTCAAAAAATTTCTAAAGAAAACTGGAACCATTCCTTACTTTCCAAGAGTCTGTTTAAATCAGATTTTAAACTAATAACAGATCAGTATAAGAAATACCTTTTGGCCGTTGTTACAAGGTGATATTATACATTGAGTGAAATATGAAATCTGTTTGTGATCACACCCAGAAAAAAAGGCAAAAATTCGGCATAACTAAGTACAAAGACACGAGGTTGAACTCGTTTACAAGTTTTAAATGTTTCATATTACCATTCATAGAAACGACAAATACCTGGCGAAAACATCAGGGATAACAGCAGTTTATATTGTAGACTCATGTTCCTGTATTGTAAAAATCAATTATAATTTATAGGCTTTGCAGTAACAGAGCATCTGTTACACAGTTCATCGTCCCGGTCGGTCTACGTGACTGATGACGACAGGTAAACGTGCATTTGGAGTCACGTGTCTAAATATTCATCCACAAAGTCGTGTGTAAAATTAAAGACGAAAATGTACAAAAAAAGGCAAAATGAAAGATAATTCAGTGACCGGGTTACTCCTTGGTATGTGACCTTTTATAACCTTCAGAATACATTGAACATTGAGATGATGTTCTACTAGGTATCCAACGCAATCTAGGAGACCTCTCAAGTCGTTAGCACTATCGTGTACCTTATCGGCTGCATATGGTGGCTGATTAGTGCCATTTTCGCTTTTAGCTATGTCGCTTTTTCGCCTTTTCGTGCTGTAAGAAATGCGCGAAAAAGCGAAAATGGCACTAATCAGCCACTATAGCTGCATTCATTTCACCAAAGATGTGCTGGTCAATAAAATTGAACGAAAGGAGACTCGCCACTAAAATAATTCATCTAACATGTGTATTGAAAAAATGATGACATAATGTCAGTAGCCGAGATCGATCATACGACACCATAAAAATTTATTCGTAAATCAAATATTGAAAGCATAAGCACTTGACATTTTGGTTCGATTTGATTTTCTTAGTTGTTCGATATGAGCGCTGTTTTCGAGGATAGGGGTTAGGTTACATCTGATCACAATGGAATAGGTTCAGTTGCCGAAATTTAATACCCGTGAACTTGATCACAATGGATTAGGTTCAGTTGCCGAAATTTAATACCCGTGAACCTGATCACAATGGAATAGGTTCAGTTGCCGAAATTTAATACTCTTGTGCGCCGTTTTATGTCAAAAGTGCATTTTGAAGTCGAGAGAACCAACTTGTTTTAGTGCATATTGCTTCAGGTAGCAGCTTTGACCGTCTGCAAAAAAAGTAACACACGACAAATATCCAAGATATTTTTTCTGATAATTGGTTTGTGTTGACATGTGTAAAATGTGTATTTTAAATTGTTATCGTTGACAGTTCGTTAACGAAAATATAACTCCCACGATTATTATGTTTTTTTTATTGGTGTATTATGCGATAAAACAGACAGATTCATAGCATTGTAACAAAAATACAAACTTTTCAAAAGGATCAGATACATTTGAAATCAGTGTGACACTACCTTGTAGACTTACGGTTGCTAGTTCCCACAATTATTGTGACGTCACATAACATTTGAGATTTCTACACACATTCTTTGATATCAATGACGTTTTTCACGATGAAAAATTTTGATAACATCAAAAAACAGCATCAGATGCCATTAACGGTAGTGCAAGTATTGTCGCGTATCCATGACGACACGTCGGTCCTGTTCGTCCGTACTCGTTCCATTGGATTCTGGATTTTCTCACAAATCCTACACAGGGATTGATGGTAAACCTCCACCATATCATAAACATCATACTTCAGTTTTTCTCGAAGAATTTTTAGATATGCATCATCATTATCATTTAAGTAATTCAAATAATTTGCCAAATCTTTTGGAGTTTTAAAATCAGCAGTATTGATATAAGTTCCATTTGGTAGAATTTCTGTGTAAGAAGCTGCTCCGCGTACTACCGGGATTAGTGGTACTTGTCTGGAATAAGTATTGAATAATTTCTCGGTAATGTAGTCAGTACAATGATTATTTTCAAACGAGAGATAAAATTTATGCTTTAGAGATAAAATTTTATAGGCTTCTATTGAGGTATTCGCGAAAGACGCCATAATTGGGGTTCCACATCTCCCAAACACTTCCACACGTACATGTTTTTTCATTTCGTTGACATATTCATTTCTCTTGTTTCTAGCATGACAATTACTCACAAGCCAAGCAACTGGACTTTCTTTGACCTTATTGCGTAATATATTATTGAAATCCAATTTGTCCCTGTTTTCGTTCTGGAAAATTTTACCGTAGGGCAGAAATATTTGTGAGTCTCTCCTGTAGCTCATCATCCAATCAAATTCTCTCCTCCAGTTGTTTCCTATCGGATAAACGCTCGGGGGACTTTCAAGAGTATAAAATATCCAAAACTGATCTTTCCGACGTTTGGGTAACACTACCGGAAGTACAGATCCGTGAAATATAACGGCGTCACTGCTACTGATAAGGGTGTCGTTTATCACGTGAGTACAAGTATTGGGAAATCCACACTTGGAGAAATCCATGATTTTTTCTGAGTCAATGATATGCTGGAAATTCGGCGGTCGGTACCAGAGTATTCGACCTGTTCGTCTTTTCATCACATCAGAAGAAAACTTTGATATCCCTGGGAATCTATTTAAATTTTCACTTTTGTCGTTTTTAAGAAATATCCTTTCCCGAAATAGATCATTTTCAGAGGAATGTTCGGTCATTTCAAAGGATTCTCCGGAACTCGGTACTTGCCATATTACTTTAATTGTGAATATCCAAACAGCACAAACAAGGAAGCAACCGGAACCGGAAATGACGTGTTTCAAATATCGCTGTCTCATAATGATTGTATCTGAAACATATAAAAAAGTCAATATGCAATTTACGTGGGATAAATTAAACTTTAATTTCCTGATTAGTTGTATTACAGAGGATCTTACAATTGCTTTTTAATGAGTTCGTAAGTCTAATATAACGCATGTGAGATTCTATTTATCACATATATTCAGACAAGCACTGGTGAAAACGACAGATACATAGACTGAATCTATATCTTTTTCTATCTCTGGTGATGTCACATCGCACATGACGTGTAAATGTTATGACGTCACAATTAGAACAATTGGAACATTCAGCTAATCACAATGTCCCTAGATGTCATCACTCGTGTGATTCTAACATACTGTATGGTATCGATGTTTTCACGTTTATAACACGGTAGATATACGGCAATCTGGTATCAATGACACATGTGTAACTGTGCTATTCTTTGTTACCGCGAAATGACGTCAACTAGGCGAACCCCTCGTTGTCTAGAATCATTTTTTAAATTAAACTTAATTCATTTAACAACAATTGCGAGACAAGTTTTCCATCTCATACAGATTGTTGTGTTTTTTGAAAGAATGGTCTGATATTATGAATCAATTTAAGAGCAGCAGGTAAACGATATGAATTTAAAATAGAAGTGTTTATAGTGTCATCACACTGAAATGACGTAAGCTGGACATGGTGACATTACTCACAACAGTCCATGTCCGCTGATGATAAAACGAAAGGTGATGACGATACATACATAATACTACAGACAGGAAATGATACCAGAAGATACCGACAAACGTTGTATTTATTCCACATAGTACACAACCATGCTGCATGTAGTAGCAGTTTTCTGTCCACAGCCAAATAAGTCAATACATTTCTATCGAAAAGCTGTCACAGTAATCGCTTATTAACTTGCAGCGTTCATATTTTCTCAAGATATTTTTTTCCGGTGCGTTGTTGATAAAATATATTTCGCTCGACAAAGTTTCGTACATGGTCTTGAAACAAACTTCTAAAGGTGGAAACCTGTTTATCAAGTGTTCTTACCTTACCCCAAGTAAATCCTTACGTTAAGAATATACAAAACATGTAACGCTATTGATCTGAGATATAAATACAAAGAGTATGATAATCTCACAGACAGCTCCCTCTATCGGCGTTAGTGACGGACATCTGTCTCTGTCAATGATAGCATTGACCGACATCTGCCTCAGTCGTCGATAGCCAATTTACTCAGTATATTTTATTAAAAAAGACAGATTTCTTTTTACCTCTGATATTGTAATAACAACAGTAATACATTTACACTGGAAACTGAAAGTGAAAAGACACTGACCATTTTATTTTCAAACAGAAATTTAGAACTCGTGTATAAAAAATACTTCAGAGTCAGTTTGATAAGACATCTGTTGATTACGAAATAAATGGAATGATTTATCACCCGGTACTAGTAAATTGGAATTGTTTGATTTCTCTCTGTGAAACACGTTATAGTTTATAGAATGTATTAAAATCTTAACGTGTAATTATGATTATATATAACATATATATCATATATAAGATACTGTGGCCTCCAATTTACACCGAAGTAAGAAGGAGAGCTGTGATTTCTAGAATTTCAGGGAATTTCTAAAAATACTTAGTAAAGTTACTGGCCTTGGATCAGTGTCATGGCAGCTACGTGGCAACAACACAGAGTTGACGTGAAGCTGATTCATCTATAAAATTGGTGTTTACGTGTTTTCATTGTTGAATGTTACATGTTTGTCATTCGTAAGAATTGTGTCACACATTTATGAATTTGTCACTTGTAAGAATTATGTCACACATATATAAATTTGTCATTCGTAAGAATTATGTCACACATATATAAATTTGTCATTCGTAAGAATTATGTGTCACACATATATAAATTTGTCATTCGTAAGAATTATGTCACACATATGTAAATTTGTCAATCGTAAGAATTATGTCACACATATAAAATTTGTCATTCGTAAGAATTGTCACACATATATAAATTTGTCATTCGTAAGAATTATATCACACATATATAAATTTGTCATTCGTAAGAATTATATCACACATATATAAATTTGTCATTCGTAAGAATTATATCACACATATATAAATTTGTCATTCGTAAGAATTATATCACACATATATAAGAATATGATGTCAATCGTAAGAATTGTGTCACACATATATGACTTTGTCACTCGTAAGAATTGTGTCACACATATATAAATTTGTCACACATATATAAATTTGTCATTCGTAAGAATTATATCACACATATATAAGAATATGATGTCAATCGTAAGAATTGTGTCACACATATATGACTTTGTCACTCGTAAGAATTGTGTCACACATATATAAATTTGTCATTCGTAAGAATTATGTCACACATATATAAATTTGTCATTCGTAAGAATTGTGTCACACATATATAAATTTGTCATTCGTAAGAATTGTGTCACACATATATAAATTTGTCATTCGTAAGAATTATGTCACACATATGATGTCAATCGTCATGTATTTCATAGTTAAGTTACTTCAGAGAGACCTGTATGTCTGATTATTTCACAACAAATTATAGGAGTAGCCATGTTGTGGTTGTCTTTTTAAAGTCTGACTTTTTTCATTGAGTTGCGTTTTATCTTGAGCGGTTGGCTGTGCTTTTTCGCAGCTCATTCTTATGTTGCTAGTTCAAAAGATTTGAGATAAGTCGAGATAGATGTCCCGACCTTTTTTCTCATTTAAACATTTGATTTTTGATTTCGGTTTAAAAACATATCGTGCCTCAACGTGAATTCGTAGTGAGCGCGCCGTCGCCATTGTGTGATGAAGAGGACAACGTTGACGACTATGGTAGTGAAAATAGTAACGACGACATATTCGATGTGTGTAGAGAACAGACTCGGAATGTACAGACTTTAAATATCGTATTTGCACGTTAACTTTACCAAAAAATTCGGGAAAACGCCTGTTTTGATTTGCCCCTACGGGCCGCCATACATTGTACAAAGGAATTCACCCGCTTGACTGGTGTTGTGTAGACTGTTCGCATTCTGTCGGTACAGGTCAGTTAATACATGGGACATCTATAATTAACTAGATGAGATCATGATAACAAAATGAATCACGAAAAAAAATCACAGTGTCGATAGTGGAATAGACAAAAATACCGTATTATCTCTTAGAATACAGCGGCAGAACAGGTTTAGGTTGTGTGTCCTAATAAATGTTGAATTAAAATCATAGACAGTGAATATATACCGGAATATTCCTAGTAAAACTTCGACACTTTGTAAATTTCCACAAGTCCCTCCTGATAACGATACACAATTCTAAAATGTGGACTGTTTAGTGGAAACAAGATTGGGAGCTAAGCACGGAAGTTTAACTTGAAAGTTAAAGCTATGTTAGATTAAAAACTCTACCATGAACAAAGCTAACACAAATACACACTTTTTCCTTTTGTATTAGAAAATATAAAACTGATTATTGAATTTATGTAACTGATGTCTATAACATGTTGAGTTACACCAATCAATATCATAATATGTTGGTGGATGAAATATCAGACTTTTGTGGTGCTAGAAAGGACCGATCATTGTGTAAGACATGTTTTGATGTACCGACACAGGATGTTAGAACATATCTACAGCATGGGTGTGTTTATATATATCCTTTGTATTCTCTATTTCACCAACAAAACTTACTTACACAGCTGTACGAGTATAACCTAAAAAGTTTCCTGGGCCAAAATGGAATAAACTATTTTCTTGTATCATCGATTGTCATGTGTCCGTTTGTATACCGTCCAATGATGACGATTAAATCCTCGGCGGCCTGGGTTCGACTCCCCAATAGCGCGTCAACTAGTATAGTTTTCTCCTACACTCAGATCGTAACGGACATCGCCAGCAATATTGATTGATATAGATATGATAAATTTAAATTCATTTAAATTTGAATTTAGAAGACTTGAATAACTTAACTTCATCGAATGACTTTCTAAGTAAATATTGAACTGGAACATTATGTCTCCTGAGAATCCATAGTTTCAATGCCCCGCTAGAAATCGAACCCGGGACACCTGCCTCACTAGTCTGTCGCTTAACCTATTGAGCTAAACACCAGTTTTCTCTAACCGGGTGGTATATTGCGCCTAGTATTTTACAAGGGTTACACTCGCATGTACAAATTCATATACAATTTTTTAAACGTTTTATTCGAGTGAAATACCTCCTACTGTAGTACTTGATCTCACTGAATTCCAATATTTATCCAAGTTATCATTTACAGTTTTGTGTTCTGCCTGTCACATCTAATAATTTGATGAACTAAATTCTAGTGGTAACACTGAACTAAACTTGGCATTGTGTGGTAACCCTGAACTAAACCCGGCATTGTGTGGTAACCCTGAACTAACCCTGGCATTGTGTGGTAACCCTGAACTAAACCCGGCATTGTGTGGTAACCCTGAACTAACCCTGGCATTGTGTGGTAACCCTGAACTAACCCCGGGTCCTGGGACGGGATAGATATTAAACTCTTATGAAAATCATCGCTCACTACCAAAACTTATCAAACTTTCTGATCTGACCTGGAGTAATTAAGGTCATACACCATGTAAATGATCCATACCAGCCTTGTTAACCCGTCAACCGTTCCCGATAGCTATTAAAATCCGGCACTTGTGTTCTATTGCTTATTCTTAGATTAAATATTTACGTAACATGTGTTTTACGTATGCGAATATAATTTGTTATTCCTTAAGATTTCACCTGGTCGGCACTCTGCTTAGGGTTATCATTATACAGTTTTTTCACGAGACCACCACGTACTATTTATAGACTTGATACATTACCTGATTTGGGTACAGGTGTCTGGTATCAATAGCTACGTCTACTGTGCATTATGCTTAAAAGTAAACTTCCTTAGTGTCTGATATATAGACAATACATAACTTACCTGTTAGGTGTCTGGTATCAATAGCTACGTC